TCATGGTAAACATTTTATCTACTTTAGGGGGCGGATGTAAGATTTTAAATGGACGCAATGCACAGAATGTCTTGAATAATGCATAAGCAGACCTCACGCTACCATTTTACCTAGTTTATGGGCGGATATGAAAGTTTATTTGATTCAAAAATACTCGTGGAAATAAAAAAAATATGACCACTCGTTCGCGGAAATAAATCGTCGCGGATTAGTTCTCTGGCGGTCAGTCGCGAATAAAAAATGACGCGTATAATAGTTGGTTTACAGTAGAAGATTTGGAGGTATTGGTCATTGATGTTATATCTTTTTCCGGATTTGTAATATGTTTCGTAATTGGTTTTTGTTCTATTATTTGATGATTAATTACATTGCGCAATAATTCAATAAAGTAGTTGGAATTCAGCCATATTGTGTGTTCCATGTGCTCTGCATCACTATCCAACAAATTGGCGACGAGGATTAAAAACAGAAGCATCAATAAGCCATGGCATTGATCATCGGAAAGGTGGGACCTTATGACGAATCGATGGAAACGTGGGAGTCGTATACAGAACGTCTGGGCTAGTATTTTATTGCAAACAATGTGAACGAGGATCTGAAGGTACCCTCACTTCTTTCTATCATCGGGCCCAAATGCTACACATTGTTGAAAAATTTATGTGCACCCACAAAGACCTCTACAATGACATTTGCCGAACTCATTCAGAAACTTTCAGCACATTTAAGCCCCAAACCCTCAAAAATTGCTGAACGTTTTCGTTTTCACAAACGAGATCAGGCTGCAGGGGAGAGCGTGACAGTTTACATGGCAGAATAACGTCGTTTAGCGATACATTGTAATTTCGGGGATTCGTTGAGACTTTGAGAGACAGATTTGTATGTGGCTTACAGCAGGAACACATCCAGAAACGACTGCTTGCCGAATCACAGTTGGATTTAGAAAAAAGCCATTCAGACAGCTGTCGCCATGGAAACGGCTAGTCGCGACGCACTAGAATTACAGGGAAAGCGTGAAATTGTAAATAAACTTTCTGTGAATAAAACAAAGAAAACGAACTATAGTAAAACAAAACCAAGAACACTACCCAAACCAGTAAAGGGAAAATGTTACAGATGCGGAGGGGAACACAGAGCAAATGACTGTAAACACACAAACACAAAATGTAGATATTGTTCAAGAGTTGGACATTTGGAGAGAGTATGTCTTAAGAAGAAGCGTGAAAACGGGGGAAAACTGAATTACGTTGATGCAGATGAGTACGGAATCGACAACTATGAGGATAATGGTGGTTATCTGCTGCATTTCTCAAGCTACTACAGAGATGTGAACAAAGTCTCGATAGACCCAATCATTGTGACTCCTAAAATTGCAGGATCTGACATTCCTATGGAAGTTGACACAGGGTCTGCTGTGTCGATCATCTCTGAGACTACGTTGGACAAATTCCTTAGTCATACACCCTAGAGGATATAGACACTCGTTTAAAGACTTACAGTGGGGAGCAGATCCGTCCAGTAAGTAAAGTGCAGGTCAAGGTCGATTTGAATGGACAGAGTGAAACTTTGGACTTACTTGTGGTGAAGCAGGAAGGACCGACACTCATGGGACGAAACTGGATGAAATTTCTACGACTTGATTGGAAGGAAATCAAATCAATTAGATTATCGAATGACAAACAGAACATTTCCGGGAAAATGACTGTTCAGGAAATTCTTGAGAAACATAAGAAAGTGTTTGAACCAGGAATCGGAAAACTGTCGGACATCAAAGGAAAACTTACAATGCAGGATGGTGTGAGACCAAAATTTTACAAGGCCAGAGAAGTGGCATATTCCCTCAGACCTCGCGTGGAAGAGGAACTCAACAGATTACAGCAGGAAGGCGTCATCTCACCTATCGAGTTTAGTGATTGTGCAACCCCAATAGTATCCCTACCTAAGGCAAACGGCAAAGTGAGAATTTGTGGTGATTACAAAGTGACAGTTAATCCTGCCATGAAAATCGAACAGTATCCATTACCAAAGATAGCAGATATCTTTGCGTCCCTTAGCGGAGGACAGAAATTTAGCAAGATTGACTTAACGCAGCCGCACTTACAGATGGAAGTACCGGAAGACAGCTAACCACGGAAACGCTGAAGGACTCTCCAGACTTCCGCTGACTTCATCGGTAACCGATACCACAGATAAGGATATCGATACAATCTACTACTCGTCACAGTTTGAAAGCTTACCTGTATCATGTGTGCATGTGAGAAAGGAGACTCAACGTGATCCTACTTTATCTCATGTGCTTGACATTGTGTTACAAGGTACACGGGACTTTCCCTCGGGAAATGAATTCAAACCTTACAGAAATAGACATATGGAACTCACAGTGCAGCAAAATTGTCTACTTTGGGGAAAGAGAGTCATCATTCCTACAACACTACAAAGAGAAGTTTTGTCTGAACTTCATAGAAGTCACACAGGGATTGTGAGGACAAAGAGTCTTGCCAGATCCCATGTTTGGTGGCCGAACATCGATATTGATATTGAGGCTATGTGTCAAAGCTGTTCAGATTGTCAACATTACTTACTATACCCCTAGACTGCTCCTGTACACCCTTGGGAATGGACCAATTCACCATGGGAGAGAATTCATGTTGATTTTGCAGGACCGTTTAAAGGGCGCATGTACTTTATTATCAAGACATACAGGATCCAGCGTACGCATATTTACCATTGGTCAATCCGTCATGGAACGAGACTACCGGGAACACACACCGTGGATTCATGCTACCGTTGACTTACCAAGTCAAAACAGATGAAGGAGGAGTGTGGCGTCGTCACGTAGATCAAATGAGGAAAACTTCAGAAAACATGAAAGAGAGAACAGTTACGGACACTTTAGATTCTTAGTCAGTAGTTCCAAATGAGATATACGCTGCACCACCTACAAATGATACCATTTCACCTGGAACACCGGCAATTCCAAGTCGTAAAACACAAAGTACTAATCGAAACATACCTTGTGCAGACCGTTCAACTGGAGGCAAACCTCATGTCGTATAAAAACAGATTGTTACACAGACACCACCACCTTGTGAACGACGTTACCCTGTGCGCGACCGAAAACCAACAAAGCGATTGATTGCCGAGTGATCTTTATTTGTGTTAATTGTGTTTTGAGGCATAATAATCCTCACCATGTGAATAATTGTAATTGCATGAATTTGAATTCTTCAATTATGTTGTAAGTCAATTATAAGTTTGATTGTTAATTAATTTTGATTTACATTTGATTAAGTTGATCAGGACATTTGCAGACATTGACATTAAGGAGGGAGGATATGTTATATCTTTTTCCGGATTTGTAATTTCTTTCGTAATTGGTTTTTGTTATATTATTTGATGCTTAATTACATTGCGCAATAATTCAATAAAGTATTTCGGATTCAGCCATATTGTGTGTTCCATGTGCTCTGCATCACTATCCAACAATTGAGAAAAAGAATTATGTTTGTTAATATGTTTTACGGTGTGACCATTGGGACGAGCGCAGTATTACTTCTGAATCGTCGATCCGGCACTTCAAATCGCAAGAGACATCTAGACTATGAAGTAACTCGAGAGCTTGTCGGGGTTTACTTAAATAACCGAGCGTCTAGTTGAAACTATTAACTTAGTGCAATTTTTGTCGAAAGGCATTGCAGTTATTTTTGTTTCTTTTAAAGATTTCTAAAAACTGAAAGTTTGTTATGCTTTACTTTATTATTTATTTATTTATTCGCACAAAGGGTATTAGCTGGTACAGGAATTCTGGGAAGGTATCACATAATAACTCGCTTCATGAGGCTAGCTACGTTCGCTATAATCATTTAGACCACCTAGATGGTCGACAGTTTTGAAATTCATGTATGTGACAAAAAAGTAAAAAAAATAAAACATTGACCACATAGCTCACCTGAGTAACTTTTACAAGCCATTCCTCACCAGATTTCCCCTTTGGTATACCTATTGCGACCCCAACCGGAGTCTAAATTTGGAGAATGTTAAATCTAGCAAATAAGTTTCAGGATTTATTTTAGCTCATAGGTTCTTAAGGAGAGGACTTTTAAACATTTTTTCCTACATATTTCAGTTCTCATTTGTGATTCTCCGGGGATCATGATTTTATGAATTTAGAATTAACAATATCTCAGGATCTTCCACAGAAGATTCAGCTTTTCTGTCCCAGTGATTCCTGAGAAAATTTTAAAAACTCGCCATACCCTATTTTTTTCTCTTATCTTGATTATCTCCCCGTGTACGAGGACTAGGTCCTTCATTTCAACAATTTAAACTCCCTTTCCCATAGCAATGCTTTGTATAAAGTTTTATTAAAATGTCCCCAGTGGTTCTTGAGAAGTGGAAATGTGAAGATTTTACAGATGGACAGAGAGACAGTTAGACGGACAACGAACGCCGTATGCTCAGAAAAGCTCAATTGAGATTTCAGCTCAGTTGAGCTAAAAAAAAGAAATCTCTACGACAGAAGTAGGTAACAAATGTTAACCTGTCATTTTTCCGACAGATTTCTAATGCTACTTTTCATAATTCTATATTCTATTGTGACTTCAGGAATCTTAACTGGAATGCAAGTACAGTATGATAATAAGAGTGATAAATGTGCTATGGTCAGTTGAATTTTTTTCAAATGGACGTGGAGACCTGTGCTTTGAATGAGACCGTATAAACCTAGGTCCCGTGTCGCAGTAGGTGCTAAAACGAAAAAGACCCTTCCCTGCTTAATGGCCCTAGTCCCGAGTATAGAACAAAATTTGCAGCTCTCCACCGACATGTGGTGGCGTCTTCATATGAGTGAAAACCTATCGAAATAGACGTTAAACAATATATAATCAAAATTTATCAAATATGGTCATTTTTTATTCACCGCAAATGAACTAAATATTCACACTGAGGTTGACCAATAACGGTTGTTAAAAAAAAAAAGATATATTTATGGAGATTCAGCCTACCCCTATGACTCCATTTTGAGAACATTGTATCCTTCTGATCGCACAGCTCTTCATCTATGACATCTTCCAGCTTTTTAGACATGTCAACTACCAGAATGTAGAACGCTCGTTTGCTGAGGTAGATTTGATGACAGGCGTAATACATACACTGTCCTCCAAAATCCAAGATACTTAAAAGTTTTTTCTCCTCTATCTTTTCTGCATCATCAATTGGAACATTTTCTTTTATATGGATTGCAGGATCGCATTTATGCATAGCAACTATAAAATTAAAATATGTAACATAATTTTATTTAATTATAATACCAGTTACAATATACAGTGTTTTCATCTTAATATGATTTACAAAAAAAAAAAACTCAGTAACTTATACATGTACAGATACATGTATAAAGCATTAAGTAATTGTGATGTTATATCGAAAGGTGTTTTAGGGGGAGGGAGTGTATATTGACGTCTTCAATATTTATTGTTAAAGAAATGCTTGAAGATGTAGGAAACAATATCAAATATATTAATTAAATATTAAAAAATGTGTTTCATCTCTCTCTCTCTCTCTCTCTCTCTCTCTCTCTCTCTCTCTCTCTCTCTCTCTCTCTCTCTCTCTCTCTCTACCAATCTACCTATCAACACAACTAATTTGTCGTGCATATCTAAGATTTTTCACCTTCTAGCTTTCCTTCTTTTTCCAGTACTTCAAAAATATCATTGTGCACATTTAGTCCCACAGTAGACTCGATGTTTTGTATCTCTTCCATTGATTTCTTTTGCAGTCTTGCTAACAGTGTTGTTTTTCCGGCACCCGCACAACCAACTATCATAGTCCGTGCTCTATGAATGGGTGTTTTTCCTTTTTTCCAGTATTTCAAGTACCGATTTCGGGCATCTAAATCCCATTGTAATACCTCTTCAGGGATTTTCACTGAAAAAGAAACCATCTTTAAGGAAATTAACATCAAGTAACTGGCTGTCAATCCATTTTCACATGCCATTAATTTTACTGTGTTGCGCATCTTTCTCCACAGTATACAGAAAATTAGTTAAACAAAATGTCATTATGTGACATGAAATTAAACAAAATAATAGTTTTTATGTGCGGACCTAGTAGGGGTCGAATGGAAGGGGGGGGGGGGGCACGAAGGGCCTTTGGGACAATAAGGAGTTATGGTCTAAAAATAATTTGCAAAACCCCAAAAAGAAATTCTTGTTCCGTAGCACCTGATACCACCTTTGATGTTTCTGAGGTCCGTGTTTGCTCTGCTCTTTTTTTGTATATTGTTTAATGGACTTTGAGATTGAATACTGTTCGTTATCTCCATATCCTTCTTGTTCAAAATACAATATGCTGTGTAATATAAAATTATGGCAATAATATTCAGGTATTTTAGACATATTTTAAATCAGGAGGGATGCCTGTTTGTAATTTGTCGGTTGATAAATCTTCTTGTTACAAACATATCTTAAAAATCTTCATATAATTCTCACGGGAACAAGTGGACAAGACACCCCCCCCCCACCTTTAACATCCCAGACCCAAAGCTATTTTTTATTTCACTGTAAAAGCTTAAAGGCTTCTCGAGATATTGCTTGAAACAAAAGTGTGATAGACGGACAGAATTAAAAGACGAACAGGCAGACCGAAATTAAAATCACCAAATTTCAGTGGGGAGGGGGGTCGGCGCAAAAATGAAAGTATAGTGAATTGTGTATTGACACAATTTAAGATATATGAAAGCAAATTCCAGATGAACATGCCATCATAGGACCTACCCCCCCCCCCCCCTCCCCCAACCCCTGGCATATATATAAACCCGGGTCCAAAGATATTTGTGGCTTTCTTTCATTATAAAATGAAGGCGATTTAAGATAATACGGCATGTTTTTTTTAATAAAAAGAGAATTCTGCATACTTTTTGGATTGTTTATATGAAATACATTGTGTATGTCCCAGAGGGTTCATTCATAAAAGAAGAAAAATATGAATATCTTGGGACCCGGTAGATATGTACTAGTATATGGTTGGGGGGAGTAAAGGGAGGTTATCTGGTCTACAAGCACGTGTGATAAGCAAATGTGTGCACATACTTTTCAAGAATGCCATGATAAGTAAGTGAGAACTACGTTTTCATATTATTTACACTTTTAAAAGTCCGGTATCTTTTTGCCGGTATTCTGAAATCATTTTTTTTAAAGAACGGTGAATGTTTATTTGTCCTTACAAATGAAGCAAGTTATAATTTCGGTTATAGTTTTTATTTGTATATTGGACCCTCGGTGTGTGTGGTCAAAAGTATAAAGTGCATCTTCTAATCTTATATTTTGACGATTGATGCATAGTAAACAAGCACTGACATAATGGAGCAAAACTTTCAGACAAAGAAAAGAACTTGACTAGGAAAAATGCACCTTAAAATTCCTACATGAATGCATATTGTCAGCTTTTTTTGTAGTCAACATATATAAACAGATATACATCATGTACACACGTTCGTATATAGTACATATATATTGGAACGGGGTTGAGGGGTGTGTGATAAGCCCCCTCCCCCCTCATAATGAAGTCGATAATAAACAATGTAATATTATAGAAAACTTAGTAACCGTATACTTGTGGACCCTCAATACAAAAAAAATCTTTCATTTTGGCTTCCAAAGGAATGATTTGGTAGCCCTAAACTAAAATGGCTTGGTTGTGCCCCCTTGTTAAAACGCACTTTGAAAAATTACGCACTTTGAAAAAAAATTTCAAAGTGCGTTAAATTTGGGACCAAGCTAACGCACTTTGAAAAAATAATTTTTTTTTCAAAGTGCGTTAATATCGACCATATCAACGCACTTTGACAAAAATGTAAAGCTTGATCAATATTCTTACAAATGATTGGTGTGATAAATAATTGACTTAAAAATTAAATCACTTCAGGACATGAGGTATTGATGTTTGAAATATCTTAGGTTTTGATAAATATCATAAAAGAGAAATGGATCTTTAAGAAAAAAATAGAGAGTTGATTGTTTAATTTCATTATTTCGTTTCTTTTAAAAAATTGTAGTCTGTAATAAGTAGATGTAAGGGGGTGGGGGATAAAGGTGAAAGACTTAAAGCATAGCATTTATCTTAAGAATTGGGGGGGGGGGCAAACTATAGAAATTCTTTTTCTCTAATACGTTTTAATGTAATTAAAAAATCTAGTTTTCATCTGTTCTAAGTTAATTCATTTATTCAAAGTATCTAACGTCACTCAATGATTTTGGATAGCATGGGAATCGAAACCGGGCGAAGGGCAAGAGAATGGGGCTGAGCCCCCCACTTATTTTGGAAATATATATATAAAATAGGTACTGAAAATGCGGCTTACCCTTTTGGGGTTTATTAACTCCCCTCCCTCTGTTTTATTTGTTACCGACGCCTGTGTATTAAAAGAGAAAGAATTACGCTGAGATATTCTCTTTTTCACGGGAGTTAATAATTCATAAGTTTTATTTTAAATAAACTAAAATAAAATATTTCCATTACTAAAATCTAAAACCAGAATTTTTGTTTTTTCATATATATCTTCTTTTTTTCTCTACATGATAAAATATGTTGATGTAAAAAAAATTTCAAAGTACGTTGAGTTGGTCCCAATTTTTTTTTCAAAGTGTGTTGATTTTGTACCAATGTTACAAAATTTCAAAGTGCGTAATTTTTTCATTGTGCGTTGCCATACCCCCTCAACTGAAATTGCTTGCTTCATGCCTGTTACATATATAAAATGAAAGCAGCCCAAGATAATATAGTAAGTTCGCCATTTATACATCATCTAAGAAGAAACTGTCTATCTCACGAATTTCTTTGAGGTGATATTTTGAATTTAAAAAGAATCTCTCTCTCCCTCCCTCTCTCTCTCTCTCTCTCGAAAATTTACTTACCTTGTCATTGGTCATTTGCAAAATTATTTTGTTAAAACAGATTCTGATTGCACATATAAGTACTCTTAAGTTGACATCAAGAAGATGCTTGATTTTCTGATTGACAATATCTATGTGGGTTTTGAAAACCAGGTATTCCAACAATCTATTGGAATTCCCGTGGGTACAAATTACGCTCCGTTATTAGCAGACTTATTTTTGTAATCATATGAAGCAGAATTTATGCAAAATCTTATGCGTGAAAAGAAAAAAAAACACTTGCTGTGGCCTTCAACTCGACGTTTAGATATATCGACGACGTATTGTCTATTAATAATGATAATTTCCATTCCTACGTCGATACGATATATCCTGGTGAGCTTGAGATAAAAGATACCACAGAGTCCGACACTTCTGCTTCATACTGGGATGTTTTACTTGACAAAGACACTAATGGTAATTTAACAACCAAGCTATATGATAGACGTGAAGACTTTAACTTTTCTATCGTCAACTTCACTTACTTATGCAGCAATATACCTTCATCACCTGCATACGGAGTATATATATTTCAGTTGATTCGATACGCAAGAGCATGCTCTACGTATGAACAATTTCTTAAACGAGGTAAATTATTGACAAGAAGGTTGATGAAACAAAAATATCAACAGTCTTGTTTAAAGTAATCATTTTGTAAGTTTTATGGTCGATACAATGACCTTGTCAGCAAATGCAATTTATCATTGAGTCAAATGCTGACTAACGTTTTTCATACGAATTGTTAGTCCATTATATATACTCTGAATTGACGACGGATTTTTTCCGTTATTTCCTGATCATGACAACGAGCACATAGATGGTGTGACCGGTCGGCAGGGGATGCTCACTTCTTCATGGCACCTGATCCCACCTCTGATATTTCGGAGGTCCGTGTTTGCTCTGCTCTTATTTTGTATATTGTTTAATGGACTTTAAGATTGAATACTGTTAGTTATCTCCCTGTCCGTCGCTGTCTCTCTCTCTCTGTCTCTCTCTCTCTCTCTCTCTCTCTCTCTCTCTCTCTCTCTCTCTCTCTCTCTCTACAAGACACTTATAAAGCGCACTACCTATTTACATGTATTTGATTGCACCGATTTATTTCTTTTCAAGCTATAAAAATTAATCTTTCTCCATATGAACAAGGCGGACACTACGAATAGTTTGTAGACGTTTAATCACTGACGCATGACAAACGTGTTTTCAAATCATTCTAAAGTAATATGGTGCATTTTCTTCTATTTGTTCACTTTGCTAAAACATTGTAAGTGATTAGAATAAATTTGACACAAGCAATTTTTAATTACAAAGTGGTTAAAACACTATCCCTTCTATTTTACACATATACTTTTTCTTCTGATTTAAAACCTTACATGGGTGCAATCACTGGTCCTGAGAAAACTATAGAGATACGGGAAGTTAGGCCGAGTTACGTTCGTTCTAAGGTGTCTACTAGGTCCTTAAAGGTACATGTACTTTGACACAGATTTGAAGCAAATTTTTCTGTATAATATCACAAATTGTATATTTTAATAGCATTTCACTTAAAAATTATATAAAAATCTTATTTCATTTAAAAGTTATTTAAACTTTTGATTTTTTGGCGGGTTTGATTGACAAATTCTTTCCCTAGCTTTCACAAATTTTAACTTTATTCTTAACCCTTAGGAAAAGTGGCAATCTTGTTGTGTTACAAATTTATCCCACTGAAGACCTTTTTAAAATATGATGTGCATATTCTGAAAATATCAAGTTTTAATCAAATAACAATCAACATAAAATATCGTTACAAGAAATTTAACTAACCTACCTATGCAAACCGTTTCTTAGCCATTTTATTTACAATAACAATGCTGCGAACGGAATTGCGTGACCAATTTTCATTTTACGTACGTAAAACGGAAAATTTCAGGGCTTCAAGTGATCATATTATAGCTTTTATTCAATCAGTAATCTACAAATTTTTCTGAAGCGGGATGAAAGATATATACACAAAAAACCCTCCACGATACAAAAGCTAAAATGTATGTGCAATTCAGTCGACTGAATAGTGACTGAATGATTACGGAAAAATAAATGGAAAGGATCTTTTCAGTGGGCATTCAGTTACCATTCCGTCGACTGATAGGTGTAATTTCATCCTGTGTAAGGCAAAAGTATATAAAAACTTATAATTTACATTTTATTCGTACGAATTTGAGTATCTTCTATTATATTCTATTCTATCTTCTATACTTGTGAAAAGATGATCTTAAAAGATATATTACAGGACCAGTGCATTTCATGAGAGATATAGAAAGAAAGAGATAACATGAAAAAAGGCAGGGTACTTACAATGGATGGAAATAATAGAATGCAATGCTTTATCATCCAAGATGTCATGAATGAGTATATCTTTTCCAAGCTCAGATATAATTCTGGTTAGTATCTTTTGATAAGGCGTCCCTTTAAAACAATCTTTCGTATTTGTTTCTCCACTGTTTTTTCCTAAACAGCGAACAAATTTACCTTTTTGGAAGTATTGCGATCTTATATATTTCAGCGAACTCTCCACTGAAACTTTTTGAAACTGTCTCTTAAAAAAAGTAACGAAATTTTCTGAATATTTGGTTATCTATGTTCTCAAACAGATTTGTAATTTTGTACTTTTGTTGAACATAAACTTTGCTTCTCTTCCAACATGTGTGTACATAATCAAACATAGTCTCGTCGTGGACGTCATCTGAAGCAAATTCCACCTTTTCATTCTGAATGGATACAAGTCCTTTCGATTGCAATGTTTGAATACTTTCAGTAATGCTCTTTGAAACGTCCAGTGTACCAATCATTCCTGATACTCGTTTTGTTAATGTTTTTGGTTTCTCCAGGATAAAGCTATTCTTATTGCTGCAGAGTAGAAGAAATAAAACAGCACGTTCCTCATCTGACAACTCCTTGTATTTTCCTACAAAAATTAACAAAGTTACTCATACTACATGTATAAGATTTCATCAATTAAAATATAATTATATTGCTACGCCTTCTTACTAACACGTTGTAACATGCTAATTATATATTTAAAAAAACACTAGATTCTAATCTGTGTGTAATCATTAAACATGTTAAGATGTGAAGTTGTTATTCATATTCAAATCAAAGGGAAATTTATTTTCAAAAGCACCGTTCTAACTAAACATGGTACTTCTCCTAAATTCTTGATGTGATTTTAAAATTTTCAACTGGGCGCAGATATCCTTTATCTATTTGATCAATAGATGTTGTGTAAAAAGGAATATTGTATATTCAATTTCTATATGCCACAAGACGAAAGACTACCTTTAAGCAATCGCTTAATGGTGCTTAAAGAAGTTAACTCCATTAAGCCACCATTAAACCACCATTAAGCTGCAACTTACAGGTGCTTAATGTTCAAACTTCATTAAGCCGAGTTTAATGATGACTTAATGGTCAAACCTCATTAAACTTTTACGCATCTTATATCGAATCTTTAATTTATATTTTTAAGTTATTCCAATGTCATTTACCCATTTTTTTTGGGGGGGGGGGACTATAATTTTGCCTCGATTGTTATTTTTGGGAGTTGAACTATGTTCAGACTGCCTAGCTTGTCACGCGGTTTCTAGCGCAGTAATTTTACAATGAATTATATAGCGGGCTTCGTGGTGTTTCTGTGTCGCCCAATTTACTCCCAGCGATATTCAATAAAAACTCGTACCAGTCTATATAACTCGAAGAAACTTTCGCAATAAAAATAGTCCATCTCATTTTTCTGAATTAATCTAATTTTAATGAAAGATTTGAAAGTAAATGAAATAGAAATTTATTTAACTTAATTTGAAAAGCATGTTTTTGTTATCTTTCTTGAGAAATGACACATAAATTTTTATTTCCGTATGAAAAAAAGTCCCAGTTTTCCGACATTTATCATTCGGCAATTCTCGGTTGACTCCACTACGCTTCATTACAATCAAAGTACTGAAAGTACTAAAAAAAACGGTTAGCATGCGTTCATGGAATATGTACAGTGTAAAATACCAAAAAATGCATTGAATGATGATATTAAAGTAGGCATGCATATCTTTTTCCAGTGTCATCAGCAAAGAAGCAGGCACACTGAATTTTGTAGTACTTAACTAAATGGTATAACCAATTACATCCCAGACTGATGTAACAAATGTTTGTTTCAAAATATCAACCTGAGATTTTTAGTTTGAAAGACAGGAAGTTCAATTTCAAAAATTTCTCCCTAATTGTCTCCAATGGTGGCGTCCAAAAGTGCTCAGAACGAAAAAAAATTATATTGATGCTGCAAATTAATTGGCTTTCATGCTCTATTGATTCTGAAATTAGGTAATTGTAAAGGCTTCTATAGCAAACAACTCGAAAATAAAATAAAATGATAATTCAAATTCTTTAGATTAATTGATTTGGAGTACTGTACATAGATCTTTAGCTGGCTAGTCTGAGAAAAACGGATGGACGAGCAAAGAATTAATTAATTTCAGAGAGCTTCAGTTTCGTAGGCTCACTGCGGGTCAGCAGGTGTGACCTGTCATTGGGGATGCTTACTTCTCCTAGGCACCGGAACTTTCAATGATCCGTTTTTCTTTTGAGACCGATCACTGTTCATTCTGTATTTTGATACAGATACTGAGTATATCTGTTTATTAATATTATGAACTATTTCTCTCACAGGAAGAAAGACAAGTAAACAAGATAACAAAGTTTTAAGAAACGACATTATTGACTTTTCATACAATTAAATGTTCGAATAAGTAAATGGTATATGACAATTATTTAAAAAAGATCCTTGCACGATATGTATAAGCGAACATATACTGAGTATCTGGCAAATATTTTTCATGAAATATTGTATAAAAAAAACCGTGTGAAAAGGAAATTTGTTGTTTAATCCATCAATACTAGTATTTTAAAAAAATCAAAGGTTCACTAAAAGTCAGTGTATAACAAACAATTTAATTGTCCATTGCAAGAATTACAGAACCTAGGTATCATTGTCACTTTCTTCAATATGTCGCATAAGCAGTACATTGTTTTTTTTTTCTTTACTAAAAACAAGTATGCGAATTTCTATCAATATGTCTGTAAGCATCTGTATTTTAATTTTTATTTCTTCTCAAAGGCTCAAAATGATAATTAACAAATTGGACAAATTCAAATTTATAAAGTATTTTTACAACTTAAACCTTGCATAGGAATTTAGCAAACTTTCAAAAAAAAATCATTCATTAGATATAATTTTCAATTTGTGCTTATAGTCAAGATTTTTCATGCCTCTTTTCTGTGCATATTTTATATCGGCTGATTTTTAGAAAAGGAACGAATGCCGATTTAATTTTTTTCTCCAATTTTTTAAAAATTAATTTTAGTTTTCAGGCTCCCATTTTTTAAAAAATAAATATGTGATCGTTTAAAATCATTTGTAATAATTAGACTGAGTATAGAATTTATCCCTGGAAACAAAGCTTTTATTATCTTTTAAATAATTTCAATTGAGAAAAAAAGGAGAAGAAAACAAACGTTTCATTATGGAAGTATTCCATAACTGTACAACTTACAGATGTATTCAGTATTTTTATATAAAGGCTTTCTTCGTGTACTAGTATTACTTAAAGGCAGAGATTTTTTACCGGGTGGTAAATTCCAGGTGAGGGAGGGGCTTATTTTGTACAGGTGTGAATGCCTTGGGGGCTAGCAGTCTACCTGTGGTCATCTGTCTTCTAATCCCTATACACAGGAAGTGATTTAATACACAGTGAAATACCCAGATGTCAAACTTTACCTGTGTTGGAGATTTTGAGAAAATTTTAAAATTAGTTGTAAAAAGTTTTTTTTTTCAATTTTACTTTGATTTATTTTTAACATTTTGAAAATACCCTTACCCGTTAAAAAATTATTATTTTATCATACTGTAAATTCAAATATTAAAATAAAGATAGTTTTAGATGTTAGTGTATGTGTTGATTTAAAAAAAAACTCCTGTAACAACCAGATCAGACTTTAAAAATTCATTCCTCCCCAGGATCCCATCTATTAATAAAACGAAAATAAAGAAGAAGGTACAGATTGAGCTTTAATGTGCCCTAAAACTGATTGGTCTTAAAAAGTTATTATATTGGCTTTAACAATAGTTGAGTAGATGAATATGATAAATCATGAAAGAACATGGAGTTAAGGAGGTCCTTTCTGGAAGTATGACATCATTAATTTGGTGTATTTCTAAGTTTCATGCAGAAAAGCCTCAAAATGACTCATTTCTGTACTTATTTTCCTTTAGAAAATAGTGTCTGCCATTTTAATTTTTGGATATATTATGTCAACTGTTATGAAAAATCACATATCTCAAAATCTTTCCGGGCGACGGTGGCAGAGTATGTTTTAAGCATTAAGGAAGTCATATGAGAAAAACGAGTTGTATATTCTTGCTGCAGGAAATTTTTACGAAGTAGAAAGAATGAATTTTGTTTTCTTATACCACTCTCATATTTTAGAAAAATATCAGGCTTATTTTGTATTGAAACTGTACCTTCTTCTTGATTCAACTACTTTTCACGAAGAAAAATATCTAGGTTTATCCTAACCTCAATAGGACTTTGTCACCATGAATCATGCTAAAAAGATTTCTTGTAAATTCTTAACTGCATAAAAAATGAAAATAAGGGACCCATGATTGGAAACATTATTTTTAAATTTAATTACGTCACACAGTGCTGCTCTGAACTTTGTCAATAACACCCCCACTTTAGGCTTACCATTTAGCATATCAAAATTAATATCAAAATTTCATTTGAAAAAAAAGTTTTATGTGCTTACAGTGCAGGGAACTAATTTTGTTACAGCATCAATGCTGATTTTGGTGCTTCCTATGCTTGCTGATTTTGATGCTTCCTTTGCTTGCTGATTTTGATGCTAGTTATCCTTATCCTGATCCTGGTTTGATCCTTATCCTGATGCTGGTTTGAAACTAGGTCAATGCTAGTAATGCTACCGGAAGTAGGATTATCCTGCCGGAAGTGGATAATTCAAAAACAGCATCGCTATTTAAAGCCATTAAAAATAATTTTGGGGGTAATTTTTATTTGTAATTTGTATTAAATGACTTTCCTTTATCTGTTTTCACTTTGGTCAATGCTAGTTCTATCCTTTGCTTGCTGATGCTGATCCAAGTAATGCTGTTTTTTTTAATGCTGATGCTGATGCTAGTTCTATCCTGATCCTACTTATGCTGATCCTGATGCTGGTTTATGTAACAAAATTAGTTCCCTGCACTGTAAGTTTATTTTTTAATGCATATTATATTATAATACTTCCAAATACTAAAGGTATATTTAATTCATATATTATTCATATATTATCAATATAAAATTTTCATAGCAATACAGTTTGTGTATACCATGTTCAGTAAACATCAAAGGATCAAAAGTTAATTAAAAGGTCACTGTGAGTCCAAACAAGGTGTACAGGGTATACATGTACACAGGGACCAGTAAGTAAATGTCAATCAAGTTTCAGCATCCAATGATGGACCTTCACGCACTTGATTGACAGGGCTACCCAGACCAGGTATTTTGAAGGCGGTGCTTAAAACCTCTGCCTTTAAGTTAATAAAAGGGATGCCTTAATATTTTGGAAAATGAAACTCGATCGAGAGATTCTCCGATGTTTTGCAGTCGGTAATAACCTTCAACCCTTTTAGCCAGTAATTAACCCGTCCTCCCTGTGCCCAGTAGCATAATTCGGTCAAATATTTATTGTTTATGAGGGGTGCCTTATAATTAATCACAGGCACCTGAATTTTTATCAGTAAGTCTCTAAATTAGCCAAATATCGAAACATTCTACCCCCTCTATACTGTAGAAGCACAAATTTTCGTGGGCATAAAATTTCGTTGTTTTGTCATCAAAATTAATTTTGTGTGCATTT